ACTTCCAAAGGGCATTACTATTCATGTGTCACATTGGCAACGCGGCCTATGTGCAGATCAATAGAGCAGGAGGCCTACCGTTTGTTATATGATACTTTTAATAGGATTAGGCAAATTACAGGGCATCAAACACGATTTAAAGGCAAAAAATCTCGAGAGTGCAGTTTGTCCGGTCGCCTGACCTGCGGTTGATGGCGGAGGAGAGGGCAAAACGAAACAGGTCTGATTAATCATTATCGGGGCCTTGTCGGCTTAAAGGGCCAAAAGTTTCGGCCGAAAAAGGGAAGGGTCGTAAACTGTACGGCGGTGAGGCCACTAACTAAATAAATAACGCCCTAATTTAAATATTTGACACTAATTAGCTCTAGTCTTGCGTGTGGAATACTAACACTCGAAGCCCTTCCGTTCATGATGAAATTTCCAGAAAAACAATTTCCATCAAGGCAAACATCTGCAATTGGGGCAGAACATCGACCAGCAATTATCGACGTTCGTCTGCGTTTGACAATAATTGGCCATTGATTTGCCTAAGAGCCGCTGAAATATTGCAAGTTTCCTAGCAAATAAATTGTTATTAGCAGCATTGCTTTTGGCCAATAATGCAAATTAATTAACTGGCTAACTGCAATACTAATTAGCAATTACTAATGGGACAATATGAATTAATCACATTCTAAATTGCTTCTGTATTGCAATCGCGGTGTGTCTCCTACTCAATTGCAATACGATTTTGAACTCGGCCCAAGGGGCACATTCTGATGGCCCGCAATGCGTTGAACTGAAAAAATGGACAATTCCAAACTGCACCGTCCATAATTGGAACTTGTAATTACTTGAGAGTTTTCGGAATTCGTTGCTGTCACGTTTTCAGTAAAATATCTCAATATTAAATATGCAGTTGACGCTCCCCCAACCTTTTAACATTTTCGTCGCGAAATAGAGGGAGAGCATGCAACGATACCGGTGGTATCTTACATTCTCCTACATCAGCAAATACGTCTTTCCCGTAGATTTATTGCCGTTTCGTATTTATTTTCCGAAAACCTGAACATGCTTAATAAATCTGGGCTATGTCATATCCAATGCCATGCGAGGGAATAAATTATCCTGCAGCTCGAAGCTGGATAATAACTGTAACATTCCACAGGAAATATAAATGTGCTTTGTTTTCAAACTGATACTTTGCTTGTAAATGGGGTTTAACTTTTCCATTAATTATACAGGGTCTTCCTCAAGGGTCCCATTCGCCAATCGCTGTGAATGAAGTCAAAAGCACATAATCTGTTTCGCCATGTCATTCGCAACTAAACCACCAAATTCCGAACCTGCAGTAGGGGGTTCATACAGTCAGTGGAAAGCATCTATCGATTTACATGCAGCCAATTTCCATTCATAAATAACAAGCCAATCTTGGGAATAGAACGAATGTGAAAGAAGCAAATTTGTGTCACGTTCCGACTGCTCCTGCGAAATATGGCTCTTATGAGATGTTTGAGCAAGATTAAGGCAGTATTTTTTCGTTTTTCTTGAATACCAGCTCTAAGATATAATGGAAAATCTGATTTGCAATCTCATCCACATGGCACCTCTGCGTCGAGGTTAGATGAGTGCCCAAAAAAAACTAGTGTTCATGATAATAGTCAAACATCAGCATTGTAAAATGCTTTAAACAAACGACCAAGTCCGACTGCTTTGTGGCCGTGTGATAAACAAAAATCTGCGGAAACCGAGTTCTAAACCTAATTTTTCCCCCGACAAAGTTAAAACTTGAATGTCGAGTTTCAGCACGCATCACAAACTCTAAAACATTAAATCAAGTTTCAAAACTTCCACAACGCTATTCAGAATAAAGCGAAAGGAATTTAGGGCTAAAACCGATGGAATAGTAAAATAATATGGCCGTTCCACAGTGTACCAAGCCCCGAACTTCGAGCTTGAGCATAGGCGGATTTTTTCTTTTCAAATCCCATTAAGGATTTATGACGATTTAAACGCAATACGGAGTTTGCTCGCAGCTTGGAATGTTTCTACAACGAATTAGAGCTTGGACAGGTTGAGTCTGGGCAAATATTGCGTGATACTGAATAGAGAAAATAGGCAGCTGAAGCAAAAAAAATGCCTCCGTCACTGCTGCGTACCCTTCCGCTTGCTTACACAAGTCCAAAACGACTAAGGAGTTTCAGCCGGCTTTCCAAACAGTCGCTCATCAAGGCAAAAAGGAAATAGGAATTAATTATTCACAGTGGTGGAGAATTCTTTATCGGCCGACACTTCCTGCCCTTATGGAAGGGCATTGTTCCGAGCTATGTATTATATGCAATACAATCTGCATTGTTTCTGAGCAGGTTTAGTCGAATTTCGGTGTTGAAACGGGAAACCCGATTTAGTAAAATGTCACAGGAAAAGCACTTTTTTGGACAGGATTTTGCAACTCAAAAAAAAACCACGCAAATCTAAAACTTCTTGAATTCAAGCCTTTTTTGAGAAAACTGCCAACGTTTTCCCATCCATGGTA